GGCAGACCGCGATTTAAATATTAGATATGGGAACGCTAGCAACATCTGTAAATGTAAAAAATCCTCAAACCTCCAATCATAGTAAATCGACATTAATCCCTCTATTTCAGAAACTATTTGTAATGCTAACTGATCACAGTTGGTCCAGGCCTGCCCGCGTTAATTGGTCGCGCTACCTGTCACAGGGATAGGGTTAGGGCCAGCAAAGTTACGTCACATATTTTGCATACTAAGTACTTTCGGAGCAGCGTGACGTCATTGGCGGCATCCCTTTGGTCTCCAGATGGGGGGGTTTTACTACTATTGTCCTCTGCAAAGTTAGATGGTGAAATCGGAAGCATCATATCGTTAAAGGCATCAGCATTTATTTATTCACTCTTATCTGCATAGAATAAGACTTTGCAAATTTCGGCATTTTGACAATAAGATCGAGTAAACCCAATGACGTCTTCAATCCTTCTTTCAATTCTTCCATTACATTATTTCCTGATGTCAACAACTGATGGTACACCAAGTGCTGCATAAGGAAGTCTCTTGTGTTGATATCGATCAGCTGTTCTTTTGGCCATCGAGATGAATTTATTAGTTGCCAAAATGCTTCACTCATTTATTTTTCTCAAGAAGAGATTCTACATAAGCATCAATTTTACAATCTGCGAGGGAAGCGAGGAAATCGTGCATAACAGATGTGGAAGTATCCAAACGAATAAAGTTCTTATTCAAAGGTGAAGCGGTCTAATAATCATTCCTGCAAGTTGAGAAAGCAAACCCTTTGTTGCATCTTTAATTGGAATCACGTTAGACTGGTTTCCTTCGAAAGTTCGAATGCCCTGTTTTTTACTTATTGAAGAGCAAGCGAAAAAACTCTTTCATTGCACCACCGTCCAAACCATCTTCGTTCTTGAATGACACAAACAACTCTCTTTTTAAAAGTTTTGGTTTTCCAATTGCTTTTTTGTGAAACATGATATCAATCCAAAACGACTCTCCGTCAACAATTACAAATTCATCTTTACTACTTTCAAATGAGTTTCTCTTGGTAAACATTTCAACAATATCTTGTATTGACGAAGCATCATCTTTATCATTACCTATGCTTTTTATATGCTGCATACACATATATGAATAGTACAAGGATACTCACTTTCAACCAAGGATATTCAGTTCGGCGAATTCCTTTCACCATTCATTTACCTCCATTTCTGTGAATTAACATTTAATCACCTCAGTGTCCGTGAATTGTGAAAGGATGTTCACCGAAACGCGAACGATTGAGGTGAATATCCGTGTACTATTCACCTCCACTTTGCTGAATAATTGTTAATTCGCTGAAGTGGAGGTGAATGAATTGTGCAAAGATTTTCGCTGAAGTGAATATCCTTGATTGAAAGTGAATATTCTTGTACTATTAACCGACACTATGGTGAATAATTGTTTTAGTATATACCATAACAAACGTGTATTGCCTAAATACACGTAAAATAAAGGTCAATTTGCATGTGTATTTCTCTCTGTTCGAAAAAGATATACATACATATGGGAACCCTCACATATCGATTTTGTCCCGAGAAACGTCATATGGACGTTTGGGGGTGGGGTTTTTGTAGCTGTGACGTTTCTTTGGAAAATATCATGGAAAAATTCGATAGTTGTTAGACAGACTTAACAGCGGTTGTCTGTAATAGTCAGGTAAGACGTGTAAAATGAGAAAATTCAAAATCCTTCAAACTTTGTCAGAATGTAGGCCTATATAAAGTATTAATGTTGTGAAAGTTTTATTTCGATCGGATAAATATTGAAGAAGAGAGACGTCAAAAATGGTTTTCCCAGGCCACTTTCGGTTTTTAGAGGTCATTTTACGGCACAACCAAAATCGCTCTATTTTGCACGATAATGGGAATCATTTCACAAAATATGATTTCGTCTTATAAATTAGAGTTATTTATTGAGTAGCAGACGAAATTTAGAGACACTGTTCTTTTAAAAGTGAATATTTTACAGATTGTCTTAATGTTTTTTATTTTTGAACCTCTTTATTATATGCCATATTAGGCAGCGAATATCTCCATTGTTACATCGATTCAGACAAAAAATTCATAACCAGGTCAAAGAAATATGTTTTCGCTTGCTATTGATCAAATAAAATTTTGGGGCAACTTAGAATTGAATTTTTGACGAATTTTTTCGTAACCCCTATTTGACCCGAATAACCGTATGTTATATAATCAGCGTCGAGTCATGTAGTTCAATAAACAACCAAATTAAGAGCTCGTCAAAAGCGTTTATTTCTTCAAGTAAATAAGCATAGGCCTATAAAACTACCTTAGCTAAAGCTGTACGATTAGTTAGAAGCATTTAGGTCTAAATCACACTGTTTACAGTCGCTTATTGTTCAGGTAATGCCCGATAGCCGGTGCCGCTGATTTGGCTGATTTGGTTTCAATTATATTTTATCAGGGATATGCCGCGATAAGTATATAGCGAGTATATTTTCTCTCCCCCTCCCATAAACATGTGTTCTCTCACGACTCGTCGTGCTTATATACTTTTCGTCAGGGGCGGCGGAAGAGGGGGGCTAGGGGGGGGCTAAAGCCCCCCCCAGAAAATTTGAAGTTTTGGAAAAAATTTTTATAATTAGGGAAAAATTTAGGTTATTTTTTGAAAATTTAGGTATAAGGGGACAAATTTGCAATATTTTGTTTAAAAAAAGTGTATTTCCGAAAAAAATTTTTGATATAAGTCCGAAAAAATTTTTTTCGTCCCTTTTTTTCTATATTGTATCCCTAAAGTGGTACACTGACCGAAATTTTTTTGTACATAATATTCATCGTACATAAATAGTGCAAGCGCTTTTTGTCAAAAACATCGCATTGTTTTGACGTATTTTTAGTAGTATGTCCGGTTGGGTTAGCTCATTTCGAGCCTCGAGCTCACAGCAGGACAAGAAATGGAAATACCGTGATATTAAAAGATGCAAATTTGAAGATACAGGTTTGCAAATAACACTCTGAATAGTGTTTTTGATGGGGATTCGAACAAGACTATTACAAAGGTAACATGTTTGAAGGGGCCGAAGTTATTTTCGGCGAAAGGTATGGCTAGTCTATATTTTTGTTCAGACAATCGCGTAATGCACTAGTCAATCGAAGTCCCGGCCCCCCACCCCCGGGGATATACCGGGTTTTAACGGGACTTTGCGGGGGAAATACAGGCTTTTACAAACGTCGATTGTTTGCTACCCGGGGTTTTAACACTGACTTAAATAGCCGGGGCATCATAGCCGGGGATTTAACGCCATTTTTAACGCTCGCGTATACGGCCTGGGAACTAATCGAATTCGCATGCGTTTTCTCGGCCTTCTTCACAGATTTCGTTGGATTTTGAGTTCGTATACATACTTTGGCATTTTTTTTGATATTATGGGTGATCAGAATACAACAACGGAAGAGAAAAAGGTAAGGAAACGATGTTTTTTTGGTTTAATGGAAATATTAATGTTAGGTTTTTTATCAAACTGCGGAAATTTGGAAAAAAAAACATTTCTTTTTTCATATGTGAATTGTATAACTTCATATATAACTTGATTTTCATATATGAAGATTCTTATATGAAATTACCAAATTTCACATGTGAAATGGATTTCGTATATAAAATTTATTTTTTCATATGTGAATTGTGTAACTTCATATATGACTTGATTTTCATATATGAAAATTCTTATATGAAATTACCAAATTTCAGTGTGAAATGGATTTCATATATGAGATTTAGTTTTTCATATGTGAATTGTATAACTTCATATATGACTTGATTTTCATATATGGAAATTCTTATATGAAATTACCAAATTTCACATGTGAAATGGATTTCATATATGAAATTTAGTTTTTCATATATGAAATTTAGTTTTTCATATATGAAATTAAAATTTCATATATGACCTGCTTTTCATATATGGAAATTTAATATGTGAAAAAGAGAATTTCAAATATGAATCTGAAATTTCATATATGAAATTACCTTTTCACATGTGAAATTCTAATTTCATATATGAACTTTAATGTGAAATTTTTGTAAGGGTACACGCGACGTTTTTTCAATGCAATAATTACACGCGACGTTTTTTCCAACAATTACACTCGCCGTTTTTTTAGAGTTACGTTTTAAACTGAGGGTTTCACTTCGGATGAAGATGGGAGCAATCATAAGGTTAGTGTGTTTCATCACAACAAAAAATCAATATGTAAATACAGCACAAAATTTCACTTTTCAGTCGGTTTAATTATCAATATAATGCATTGTTTTCTTTTGTGTTTTCCAAACTATATAAACAAAGGCTTTGTGTGTTTTGCCCGGGTCGTATATTTATTTTCCTTGTTGCACTTCTTCATATATAAACTGTGTCTTGCCAGATCGTATATACGCCTGCAGTAGTAAATTAAAATCTGGCGTTTGAAGTTTACGCGTTTGGCGTATAAATTTTACGCTTTAACCAGGGCTCTTATATACTATATATATATATATATATATATATATATATATATATATATATATATAACTGTGTTTGAGGAAACATGTCTGGTATAATATTCTTGTGGTTTTGTTGAATTTTTCTTCAGACATACAAAGTAAAAACTTTTATTCGTAAAATAAAGTTTTAAAATCCCAAACGTTTCGCCGATCAAGGCTTCTTCAGTGGGAAACTAGTTAAAAGTCATATAATGTCCCTATATATATGCAAGTCCGTCAATACTCAATAGCCAAAATTACAATATATAAAACTAATTAGAGATAAAACGACTGTCTTGATTACATGTACAGGATTAAAAAAAATTAAAATTAATTATATATACAAGATTTAAGAAAATTAAAATACTAATTGTATAAAAGTGTTCTCCCAGTACAGCCATTCATAATTTTGTCGGCATTGTTTCGTATCTCGACTGCTTCAATGTACCTTCGCTCCTCTTGGTTGCGGATATGTGTGTGTAAAAGTTTCCAACTTATTTCAGCGTCCTCAGGTCTCTGATTGTGGGAAATTATGTGTCTGTATACGGTCTGCTTGTCCATTGATAAGTGTTCTTTAATTCTTTGGCCTATTGTTCTTCCTGTCTCGCCGATGTATATAATATCGCAGGTCGTGCATGTAATTTGGTAGACCACATTCTTCGCTAAGCACTGGTTACGCTTCGATGCTAATTTACACGTTACGCATTTGTCAGGACAATTTGGTTTATTTCTTGGTGGTGCGAACACTTTAGCCAATGGTCTGCCATTCTCAAAATAAATTTTAATGTTTGCTATACCTGAACGGCGTACGACACCCAATGCCCGTCGTTTAAGTTCTTCATTAATGAAGGGCATTTTAATGTAAATAGTTTTCTGTTGTTCGTCGTCTTCATTTCGTGTGGTGGTAGTTACACGTGACGCATTTCGAATGGTCGTTCGTATCATTTCTCTGGGGTACCCATTGTTTAAAAACAATTCCGTCACTGTGCTTAACGATTTCCTTCGAGCTTGTTGATTGGAAGAGCAATAGATGGCTCGCTTGATTTCGCCAACAAGTATCGCTCTTTTTGATGCTATCGAGCCGTGGCTGCCCCAGGGTATAATACAACCACTGTGTATGGGTTTCCTATACAGGCATGTAGAAAACGTTTTGGTATCCGAATTAAAAGTAACTAATGTGTCGAGAAATGGCAATTGGTTGTTATTGGGTAGTTCCAGTGTAAATTTGATTGCATCATTTTGGTCACTAGCTATCTTTAAAAGTTCTTCGGCGGTAATTTCTTTAGAAAATAGGGAACCAAAGTAATCATCAATGTATCTTTTAAGGCTGACACGACCGTTTGTTTTCTCAATGATAAGAGAATCGATTTCATTCATGTATATTATGGCTAGAGTTGGAGCTAAGTTGTTGCCCATAGCTAAACCTGATTGCTGTTTGTAAGCCTTACCTCCAATTAGTACCGTGTCACTAGATATACATAAACGAATAAGTGCTTCAAAATCGTCATCACTTAATGCCCACAATTGGCAGTCTGTTTTATATTTGGAAAAGAATTTCTTGACAACAGTAAAAACTCCGAGTGTTTTAGTATTAATGTCCTCCAACGGTATTGAACCATATAAATTAGAAACGTCAAGACTGCAAAATTGATGAACTGTTTCACCTTCTATGGTCATAAGATAATCAACAAATTCTCGAGTGTTTTTGAGATGAGCAGGCACATGTTGTAAAAGTGTGTTTAAGGGTTTAGAAAGGTATTTAGCCAAACAAGTTGCTGGTGTATCAGTTGCCGCATGTATAGGTCTGCCCTTAAGCTCGCCTTCTTTGTGATCCTTAGGTAGGCAGTAAACAGAACAAGGGAGCGGCTCGCTACAAACGGTAGATTTTAATTGTTTGTGAAGAGTAGGGTTGCTATACTTGTATTTATTAGCAATATTGTTCAGCTTACCATTAAACTTGATTTGCTCTGTGCGAGGTAGGTTAGATTTCTTTAGTGATTGATGATTTCCTGTGTCGACGGTAGATTTCTGAACCATATCTTTATAGCAGGCGGAATCAAGGGCGACTAGTCGTTTTGTCTTGTCAGTAGATGTGATGACAATGCTCTCCGCAGGTTTCTTGTATGATAGTTTTTTCGACTTGAGAATTTTAGCACCGACTTTTTCGCATTCCTCTATGATACGAGTCATCCCTCCCGTTAACTCGTTTAGGGCACTTTCGGGAATGTGTTCTTCTTTAAGTCGATCGGTCGCTCGTTGCAAACTCGCCTTGGACAATAAGCAACGTTTCGGTAATTCCTTGGGTTCAGCATTTACGAATGAAGGGCCATTATGCAAGATGTTAGTTAGCTGGGGTTCTAGATGTTTCGTTGACATGTTTTTAAATCCCTGTGGTTTGTTTATGGTTGGGTGATTGGTAGTACGTCGTGGAGCAAGCAGTTGATTGAATTTGCGTTTTTTTATTTGGTCGAGCGAGGTTTGGATATTACTAATTAGTTGATCTTCTTGATAGTTCAACGGGAAAACACAGCACCGGATCTTCGACAGAAAACTAACTAACTAACTAACTACTTGACAGCTAGATGCGAGTTTGTTGTGTGCGTAAGGATGTTTTCAGCTTGAAGACCTTTAGGTATGACTCTATTCGACTTGCATGTACGTAGAAACGATATATGACTTTGGTGGCTAATAATTTTCTTAGCGATACGATACGATGACTGTGTTGGAGGAAACATGTCTGGTATAATATTCTTGTGGTTTTGTTGAACTTTTAACTAGTTTCCCACTGAAGAAGCCTTGATCGGCGAAACGTTTGGGATTTTAAAACTTTATTTTACGAATAAAAGTTTTTACTTTGTATGTCTGAAGAAAAGTTCAACAAAACCACAACAAATATATATATATATATATATATATATATATATATATATATATATATATATATATATATATATATATATATATATATAGTATATATAGCACCCTGGCTTTAACGACTACAAGCCTTCGTAACAGTTTAAGCACAAAATTTATACGCCAAACGTAAACTTCAAATGCTAAATCTTAATTTACTGCTTTGGTGAATACATGACTATAGTGGTTAATTTATTTTCTTGAATTACTGTTAAATACCACAAGTTCAGTAATTGTTTACTGTAATATATTTCAAAACCGTTGGTGTAAAAGCTGTTATAATAGAGTTGTAAAATCACAAACTTCGTTAGCGGTTTGACGTGTTGGCCGTAAATGTCAATCTAAAACTCTCTATTATGTGAAGAGGTTATTTCGCTGGCCCCAGAGTGACAAAGCGTACCCTAATCCTGCTCCTATAACCTAACCGAAAAGTTTCGACGAAATGTCATTCTGAGGTCAGCGAAATAACATGTGGCAGTGGGATATATAGCAACTCTGAAATACCGATAAAGATTTTGTTTACTTTGGAAAACACAAAAGAAAACAATGCATTAATTATATTGATAATTAACCGACTGAAAAGTGAAATTTTGTACTGTTGTGATGAAACACACTAACCTTATGATTGCTCCCATCTGCATCCGAAGTGAAACCCTCAGTTTAACAACATAACTCTAAAAAAACGGCGAGTGTAATTTTTGGAAAAAACGTCGCGTGTAATTATTATATTGGATTGAAAAAACGTCGCGTGTAATTATTGCATGAAAAAACGTCGCGTGTAATTATTGCATGAAAAAACGTCGCGTGCAATTATTGCATTGAAAAAACGTCGCGTGTAATTATTGCATATATGAAAAATGTCGCGTGTAATTATTGCATTGAAAATACGTCGCGTGTAATTCTGAAGAAAAAAACGGCGAGTGTAAATTTGAAGGGAAAAAAACGACGAGTGTAATGCTAAAAAAAAACGGCGAGTGTTTACAGTCATGGCCCTTCTCGGCCATCGTAGTATAGAAATGAGCTCTTTAAACTTGTTCGGTAAAAGGCAACAGCTCTTTCATTTACTTGTGCTTTCAACAATTAGTATGCATGCCCTATTTAACCCATTAAGATGCAGAGTTTCCTGTTGACGAGTAAAATCGTCTGGCGTTAAACAAGTAAAAAAATATGTACTGGGGCGCAATGGGTTAGCTAGAGACATTGTCAGATTTTTTGATTTAGCGCCGAAGAGGCTAAAGCTGGGGGTCATATACCATTTTTCGTTACTAAGAGTGTAGTTGCTTGAAGTTGCTTGAGCCGAAAAAGTTGCTCCAAACGCAAAAAGTTGCTCAAAAGTTGCCAAGCATATGCAATTGGGACATGCCTAGCAGAGCTTCGAGGGCCAAAGACCCGAGGGAATTCTTTAATTTAGAGTCTCTGAAATGCCATTTCCTGGACTTTGGGGAAGATTTGACAGAATTCTGATGGTCAGAAAACAGCATTTTAGTATGTCGAAATGTACAATCTAGTAGCACTAAATGGGCGAAGGCGTATTTAATTAACTACAGTATATCAATATTGGATAAGTTGCAGGAAAGTATGAGAAATATAATCTCCATTCTTTGCAGTTTGTCATGGGTAATGTAGCCGCTTAAAATTAATCAATTTCAGTATTTTAAAGGTATATTATTTAAATGATTCTGCATGATTTTGGAAAAAGAATGATTAGCATGAATGAGAATGAAAAAGAATGATCTGCATGATTTTGGAAAAAGAATGATTTGCAGTTGCTACGACCCTGGGTTAGGAATAGGGTTAGGGTACAGGGCACTACGTCAATGAACTACAAAGACCGCTAAACAGCTAGTGACTCGAACATTTAACTCAGGCTTGGATTTGACTCGGACTTGACACAGCAAACCAACAAACTCCTTACTAAATTAAACCATGTATAAAATACCTAGTATAAACTATGATATGCCAAACTTTCCCTGGACGTAATGTTGCTACATCACTTACTCGTTAATTATCTTTTTTATTAAAATGTACATAATTGGAATATGACAAAAATTTATGGCAAGTTCATGGCAAAAGTTATTGTTGTATTAGCATATTATTAGCATAAATCATTATATGTATATAAGTAACCGAACTAGTATTAAAGTCAAGTTAGTAACACAACATGGTGGCAGCGGCGGGATCTTGTTACAGGGCTTGTAAATGAAGTAAAAGAGTGGAAGAGCGGTCGGTTGACGACTTAGAGGCGCCACTAACTTCTTACAAGACTCTAGTCCCTTGATTGCGTTAGAGACAGCCAGAATGGCATCTTTTCAAGTGCAGCCTCCGGAAAAATTTACTTTCAAGCCAGAAGATTGGTTGAAATGGAGTCGGAGATTTGAGCGATTTAGGATGGCGTCTGGTCTCGAGAAAGAAAGCGAAGAAAGCCAAGTTAATACCTTGATTTATTCAATGGGTAGCGAAGCGGACGATATTGTGCAATCTCTCAGTATCGCTGAAGGCGACCAAAAGAAATACGATGTTATTAAAAAGAAATTGGAAGATTTTTTCATCATCAAGAGAAATGTAATCTTTGAGCGAGCTAAGTTTAACTTGCGAAGTCAGCAGGAAGGAGAAACCGTCGACGTGTTTATTACGGACTTGTTCAACCTTGCAGAACATTGTAATTTCGGTGTTTTACGCGAAGAATTGATCCGTGACCGTATTGTTGTTGGAATTCGGGACAAAGCGTTGTCGGAAAAGTTACAGCTCGAAGCAGACCTAACCCTAGAAAAAGCCGTGAACTTTGCCCGACAGAAAGAAAATGTTAGAAAGCAGCAAGGGTTTCTTCGAGGCGACGGCAAACAGCAAATCGACTATGTGGGCGTGGGGAAATTTGCAAAAATAAGAAAGAATGAGAAATCAAACTTCAAAGATCAAGACAGAGGACAAATACACAAAGGCAACAGAAAATGCAGTAGGTGCTTAGGACCTATGCATCCTAAGAAAAGCTGTCCAGCAAACGACTCAAAGTGTCATAAGTGTGGCAAGATTGGTCACTGGAAAAGAGCGTGTAAAAGCACAGCGATCAGTGAAGTCAGCCGAGACACAGGTGAGATCTTTCCAAATGAGTTTTTTCTAGGCGAAATAGTCGTAGAAAGCATTGAAGCTGAACCGTGGAAAGCAAATCTTACAGTAAATGATTGTAAGTTTCAATTTAAGCTCGATTCAGGTGCTGATGTAACTGTAGTTCCGAAGTACCTTTATGATAAATTGTCAAATAAACGAAAAGTTAAGCTTCAATCAACTGATAAAATACTATTAGGTCCTTGCAATTATCGTCTCAATTGTTTGGGAAAATTTAATGCTAGGATAACCTCAAAGAATAAATTTATTCTCGAGGAAATTTATGTTGTTAAAGATCTGCGTAAACCATTGTTAGGCAAATCAGCATGTGTATCATTAAATTTACTTGGTAAAATCAATGAGGTGGAAAATTCTAAAGCACCAAAAGAAAGCAAATATAAGCAACAATATCCCAAATTATTTAAGGGCTTAGGAGAGCTTGAAGGGGAATATGAGATAAAATTAAAAGAGTTGCCAGAACCTTTTGCTTTGAATGTGCCAAGAAAAGTACCTTTTCCAATGTTAGATAAAACCAAGAAAGAAATCGAGCGAATGTTAAAAATAGGCGTTATTTCCAAAGTAGATCAGCCAACAGTCTGGTGCGCCCCCATGGTAGTTACACCAAAACAAAATGGGGAGGTTCGAATATGTGTTGATCTGACCAAATTAAATAAAAGTGTTTTGAGAGAAGCGTATCCTCTCCCATCAGTTGATTTCACACTAGGGAAGTTATCAAAATCTAAGGTATTTTCAAAATTAGATTCAAATAGTGCCTTTTGGCAAAGAAAGCTCTCAGAATCCTCTCGTTTACTAACCACATTCATTACACCTTGGGGACGATTCTGTTTTAATCGGCTTCCATACGGCATTTCTACTGGAAGCGAACAATTTCAGAAAAGCATGAATAACGTCTTAGAAGGGTTAGAAGGGGTTGAGTGTGAGATTGACGACTTATTAGTCCATGGAGAATCACAAGAGCAGCATGACTCTAGGTTGCATTCAGTTTTGCAGAGACTACAGGAGTCCAAACTTACTTTAAACAGGGATAAATGTGTATTTAGTGTCTCCACGATTAAGGCATTAGGTCATGTTATTTCATCTAAAGGGATATCCCCAGACCCTGACAAAGTTAAAGCCATTTTAGATATTCCTGTACCTACAAATGTTGCCGAAGTTAGATCTTTCATGGGTATGGTGAATCAATTTAATAAGTTTACAAGTCATCTCACATCCAAATCAAAACCACTCAGAGATTTATTATGTAAAGATTCTGTTTGGTAGTGGGGGGATAAGCAAAATCAGTCATTTAATGATCTAAAGAAATGTTTAATTTCTGTCCCAATTTTGGCTCTTTATGACCCAAACAAAGAAACTAAGATAAATGCAGACGCATCTTCTTACGGTATAGGAGGGGTAGTCTTGCAGAAACAAGAAAACAATGAGTGGAAACCCGTTTCTTACATTTCACGCGCACTTACAGATACAGAATCTAGATATAGTCAAATTGAAAAAGAATGCTTGGCATTCACGTGGGCGTGCGACCACCCATACCCTAGACCAAATACCACCACGAATCCAAAGGTTCAGAATGAGATTAATGAGATTCAACTTAGAGAAAATGACGCATGTACCTGGTAAACAAATGTACACTAGTGATGCCCTATCGAGATTGTTAAAACCATTCACTAAACCAGATTGTTGTACCGTGCCAGAAGACGACATGAATGCGTTTGTTGAAACTGTGATTAACTCATTGCCTGTCTCAGATAAGAAACTGAAAGAAATTATCGAAGCTCAAGAAGAGGATGAAGTGTGCAAGAAAGTTAAGCAATACTGTCTCGAAGGATGGCCAGACAAACATATGGTTCCAGATGCTGTGAAGTCATATTGGAGAGAAAGAGGAGAACTTATGGTAGTCCAAAGCTTAATTATGAAAGGAACAAGAATATTGATCCCATCCTGTATGCGATTGAATGTCTTGGACAAGATTCACGAAGGACATTTGGGAATTACGAAGTGTCGAGAACGTGCAAAGCAGTCGGTATGGTGGCCGGGATTGAGCACCCAAATCCAGGATATGGTACAGCATTGTCGAACATGTGCTATGCATATGGTCAATAAACCTGAACCGTTGTTCCCTACATCGTTTCCAGAAAGACCATGGCAAACTTTGGCAATCGACTTTTTCAAATGCGAGAACATTGATTACTTAATTGTAGTTGATTATTTTTCACGGTATGTCGAAATCTGTCCTATGAAGAAGAATAAGACAGCAACCGAAGTTTGCAGAGTCTTGAAGTCCATTTTCTCGCGACATGGTATCCCAGAGAGAGTTAAATCAGATAATGGACCCCCTTTCGATAGCGGCGAGTACCTCCATTTCGCGAACGAGTGGGGATTCGAAGTTCGTCACAGCAGTCCGAAGTACCCTCAGTCAAATGGTGAAGTAGAACGAGCCGTACAAACCATAAAGAGACTGCTCAAGAAAGAGAAAGATAAAGAAAAAGCTTTGTTAGCTTATCGATCTACACCGTTATCCTGTGGATATTCCCCAGCCGAGTTGCTGATGGGAAGGAAGATTCGTACAACGATACCAACATTCCATAAATTGTTAACACCGAAGTGGCCCGATCTTATTAAGCTACAAGAACACGAAGCTCAGTCCAAACTACAACAACAGAAGTACTTCAATACCCGACATTGTGCAATGCCACTTAAACAAATACCTCAAGGAACTGAAGTTCATATTTCCACCCACCCAGAAAATGGTGTTGTAAAGACTAGTACGGAAAGTCCACGACAGTATGAAGTTGAGACTCCAACTGGTGTTATTAAACGAAACCGTGTTCAGTTGGTTCCACTGCCAGAAAAACCGATCGCGCAAAGAGAAACTAGTGAGTCGAATAATAATATTCCTGAACTCAATATATATTCAAGGCCAAAACGAACTGTAAAATTATCGTTAAAAGCACGCGAGAGCAAAGGACTTGCTTAGAACTTAATAGAACTATAGAACCAGTAAAGTTAACTTATATTCAATTAAATTTTAATTAGTCAATTATTGAGCAAATTGATTAACGAACACGTAGATTAATATTTTTGAAAAACGTAAAAAAAATATTTAAAAAAAAGGGAGATGTTGTATTAGCATATTATTAGCATAAATCATGATATGTATATAAGTAACCGAACTAGTATTAAAGTCAAGTTAGTAACACAACAGTTATAAAGGTAGATGTTCGATTATTTTTCGTATTAGCTGCGCGCATTACATTTTGGGTATTTGTGCATTGCATTTTGGGTCTATCTGTTGATTAAAATTCAGAATTTTGCTAGCTATATACATGAATTAAATTTGCTGCTTTGCTCGCTCTCTGTGGTAGCAATAATCGTTACATGTCAAATTTTTCTCCACTATAATAAATAACTGGACCCCCTCTTCTGAATTAATATTTTTAAGTGCCCCCCCCCTTTTTCAGTCAAAAATACCTCATGACCCACCCCCTTTTTTGCCAGCCCACCCCCGGTCATAAGTAATGAATGGTCCCTAATAAGGCAGTATCTATTGTTGTCGTGTCCTCATTAGTATTTTCAGTATATAAAGAATACTACAGGGTGTCCCAAAAAAAACGGAAACTATTGAAATCACCAATAACAATTTAATTGTTAGAATTTGAATGCCTTAGCGCTCTGTTGGTTCCCACGAGTGCATAAATGATTGACATAAGTAAATTTTATGCATAAAGAAACTGTTTAAGAAGCTGTTTTTAATTCCCAGGAGCAGAAAATCGCGCACTTTACTAGGAGATATTCCTAACTAAATTCTAATACATGCACCTTGTCAATATTTTACGCATCATTACGTCCAGCTGTTTGGTAGGGCATTCAAATTTAACAATAAGTGATTTCTATAGTTTCCGGGGTTTTTTAGGACACCCTGTACAGGGTGTATCAAAAAAACCGCAACCTCGGAATTTCCTAAGAAATCACTTTGCAATTCTTAAACATAAAAGATTTTAGGCCCCTGGGAATTGAAATCGAATTGCTAATAGATCATATTACTGTTGTTAACAGTCGCTTATTGTTCATATTACTGAACAATAAGCGACTGTTAACAGTGTGATTTAGACCTAAATGCTTTCTGCCAAACGTACAGATTTAGCTAAGGTAGTTTTATAGGCCTAGGCTTGTTTACTTGAAGAAATAAACGCTTTTGACGAGCTCTTTGGTTATTTATTGAACTACATGACTTGACGTTGATTACATAACATACGGTTATTCGGGTCAAATAGGGGTTACGAAAAAATTCGTCAAAAATTCAATTCCAAGTTGCCCCAAAATTTTATTTGATCAATACCAAGCGAAAACAAATTTCTTTGATCTGGTTATGAATTTTTTGTCTGAATCGATGTAACAATGGAGATAGTTGCTGCCTAATATGGCATATAATAAAGAGGTTCGAAAATAAAAAATATTAAGAAAATCTGTAAAATATTCACTTTTAAGAAAAAGTCTCTAAATTTCGTCTGCTACTCAATAAATAACTCTAATTTATAAAACGAAATCATATTTTGTGAAATGATTCCCATTATCGTGCAAAATAGAGCGATTTTGGTTGTGCAGTAAGATGACCTCTAAAAACCGAAAGTGGCCTGGGAAAACCAATTTCGACGTCTCTCTCCTTCAATATTTATCCGATCGAAATAAAACTTTCACAACATTAATACTTCATATAGGCCTACATTCTGACAAAGTTTGAAGGATTTTGAATTTTCTCATTTTACACGTCTTACCTGACTATTACAGACAACCCCTCTTAATATTTCGGAATCATCTTTGTAGACTATATAAAAAAGAAAACAATGCAACTTGATGCAAACATCAGTCTATATATTCGTAATATCATACCTGTTCTATACATATATTATTACGCCTTCCAGTTGCATTGAAAACACTCAAATTTCAAAAACGCCTAAAAATTGTCAATATTTCATGTAAAATAAGTTGTTTTGACAAACGTTGGAAATTTTTAGGTTCATATATTAATAAAAAAATATATGTCAGTAGAAGATGACATATTCTAAATCAAATGTCTCGAATATCGGTCAAATTCAATAGTAGAAAATTACCTTATGTGCACTATAAGAACAAAATATCGATAACTATGTGTGTGACGTTTTTAAGGTGGGATGGGGGTAGGGGGTGGGGCAGGGGGGGGGGGTAGAGGTCTCCTGTGAAACGTCCATATGATGTTTCTCATGGACAAAATCGATATGTGAGGCTTCGGGCTTCCCTAAAACAGGTATTCGTACGACGAAATTAAACTTCTGCATCAAAGTTTTTATTTCTACTTTCACATTCTTATTACAAACCAAGCGCTTCTAAGTAGTGGATCGGAAATGCCTAAAATTGTTTGTTTTTATTATTCAGTCATTATTTTTTATTTTATATTTTTTTGCTTTTTAAAACTCTTTTACTAACTTATTTAAAAACTATTTTTTTGAAAATCTTGAAAAACTCGCATGTAAATATCAAGATTTTGTGGGCATCTCACTCGATTGAATAACAATTGATTCCTGTCAGAATACGTATTATTATATACCAATTGTCAAAGTCGCATTTTTCTTGTGTTTTATTGGTCGAGAGCATATCACGTGAGAGTGACGAAATTAGACTGTCTCCCTCGCAACAGTGCGAGAGGGAAACAATACGTTATCGACCGGCGAATAACGAAAAAAAATCACGCGAATATGCGACCTTTGGACATGCCTATAGTATATATAATTACACTGACCTGAAAGGTCAAGTGTCTTAAATCCCTAGTTTTCTGTTTTCTTCTGTTTTTTTCGTCGTCGAGAAATCGAGTTTGCGTTCGCGCATCGCAGGCTCAGGGTGCAACAATTAATCCAAAATGCCACCGATTCTTCGACTCCACGATTCATATATAATAGTAAGAAGCTTGTATTTATGTACGTAATAGCCGGCTCATGCCATGCTTGTGGTGCATTTTTCGTTTATTAGCCCATATATAGACTTATATGGACTTATACGCACGCGCACAAATCCGAACTCCAATGGTAACATATTCAGTCCAGTTTCAAAATGGCGCCTTTTGGCTGAGTGATCAGAATATATTTCACACAGTTTCGTTGAATTTTCAAAGAGTTGTGCCGGTTTCCTATGGAGTTTACGTTGTGTTGCACTCTGAACTTTCTTGCGTGTTGAATTAATATGTTTTTCTTCGTGTAACGACTCGAAAACCCCAAAATTTGGACCCAGTGAATTTTACAAAGGACAAGTTAAAGGTTTGACAGTTTGACTTTTTAACTAATAAACAACTGTCCATAAATATACGTTGTAGAGTCATAAACATCCGTGATGTAGTTGTGTTCATTTTTTGTCGCACTCTGGACTTTCTTGCGTGTTGAATTAATGTTTTTCTTCTTGTATTAAACGACTCTAAAATTTGGCTTCCAAAATTTGGCCGACCCGGCGGATTTATACAATCAATATGTTGTATTCAACGACACGAAACCCCAAAATTTGGACCCGACGCGAATTTGTACAATATAGTGGGATGTAAGCTTGGACAAGTTAAAGGTTCGACAGTTTATTTTGATTTATTGTATGGTTCTCACTTCTCATTTGCCTAATACAATAACATTTAGTTCACAATACAATATAAACAAGGGCAAGTTAAAGATTTGACCATATTAAAATACATGTATTGAAATTCGCGCAATAGCTATTAGAATTCGCGCAAGTAAAGATAAAGCGAGCGTTCGTTCAAAATACCAAAAAGAACTAAGACATTTATTGTATGGTTCGCATTTGCCTAATAGAATAACATTTAGTTCACAATATAATATATTTATATAAACAAGGAAAAGTTAAAGGTTTGACAGTTTCACTGCACAATGTCGACAATATACCTTAATACATGTATTAAAATTCGCTCAGTAGCTACTAGTTGGTGCGCCAAACGCTTTGTGGTGGCTATAGCCTACTAAAGATAAAGCGTGCCTTCAAAATACATACAAGAATTAAGACATTTATTGTATGGTTCTCATTTGCCTAATACAATAACATTTAGCTCGACGCGAATTTTAACTAGTATATCATATTTCATAATATAATGAACAATGTAAACTAGCCAATTCTTTTCACCTACAAAATGTCGACAATATACCTTAATACATGTAGTAAAATTCGCGCAGTAGCTACTAGAGTTCGATCAAGTAGTAAAGATAAAGCTTGCATTCAAAATACCAAGACATTTACTGCATGGTTCTCATTTGCCTAATACAATAACATTTAGTTCACAATATAATATAAACAAGGAATAATCTTTCGATTTGGCTACACTGTTTGCTCGTTTTGAATGTATATTGATCGATTTCAATAATCGATGTACATATCAGTCTGCTCGATTCGAGTAAGTGTTGCCCGATTTGTATCATTGGTGATTATTTTGGTGTTCGACTTATAACTATTGGACCTATTGAATTTTGACAGTAAAAACGCGCCATATTAATATATAATACATGTATTAAAACTCGCGCAGTAGCTACTAGCCTACTAGAATTGGCGCAAGTAAAGATAAAGCGTGCGTTCAAAATACCACTGGCAATGAACAAGAACTAAGACATTTGTTACGAAATCTGCTACAAAATGACGACAATATAGCATACAGTGTTGGATTTTTCTCATGTGTATAATGTAGCATAACTGCCATAACACATGTATTAAAATTCATGCAGCAGCTACTAGAATTCGCGCAGCGCTGGGTGCGCAAAATTGCAAAAGGCCGTTTGTGTTAGCTATAGTAAATATAAAATTTATGCTACAAGGATCAAGGTAATAAATGGCAAATGAACTAGCTATTTCAAGTTAAAACTGTAATGTATGATGATTCTTTTGAGATAACAATGAGAAGATGAAGCGAACGAAGAAGAAAAATTCCAGTCGGTGGCCAAAAAGGCCGTTTTCCGTGAAGTTTAAATTGCCCTGTTAGTACATTTAAAATGCACGTAGTAGCCTATAATATGTGCGTGGAACGCATATTACCTCGCCCTCGACGTTTTACCCTCGCCCTCGACGTTTTACCCTCGCCCTCGACATTTAACCCTCGACACTCGACCAATAGATAAACTCCACACGACATATAGGGACACTCAAGGTTGCACTAATTGCATCGTATAGGGTTGAAAAGTTGCCAATGATAAAGTGGTAATTTCTGCCTTCTGCTTTTTGTTGTCAAATTATTGATTTCCTTTGGATAAATCTACCATATCTACCGCTGAAACTGTTCTATACGAACTCTCTTGCTCCCCATTCGCTTGTCTATTACACCATAGCCAATCTCGTTCCCCGAGACTGCGATCCTCGGGAAGGAAACGAAGGCTCTGGGATAATCTGTTGCCGAAAACCAGGAATTCTGGCTAAGATTGAACTGCACATTCCATATCAACGGCCAATCAGATTCCTCCCTGAAACGGATTATCCCAGAGCCTTCGTTTTCTTCCCAAGGACCGCAGGCCCAGGGAACGAGATTGCAGCATAGCGCGCATGTCATCATTTTCAGGTCAGTGTGAACGCCTGAGTAGGCGTCTTGTTTATTAAACTTTCGCTTTAAGTAACTGCAGTGTTTAATTTAACGTTTTAACAATAAAATATTTCATGTATTTACGTTCACTTGTTCTTTAATTTGTTGTTTCTTTGACTATTGATATATAACAAAACACTTATTTACTGAGACCTCGGCAAAGCAGTGTGTTTTGTGGACCCTCGACCATCGACGCTTCCCTGGGCTTCGCCTCGGGAAACATCGACGGTCTCGGATCCACCGAACATGCTGTTTCCCTCGATATCATGCAGTAAATATAAGTGATAAAATTGTTTTTGTTTGTGGAAACACCACGTAAATTTATTACTGCCAAGCTTTCGATCCGTAAGCCCGGATCTTCATCAGTGCTAATAATATGTGCTAATTTTGCTTTCCACAAACAAAAACAATTATATTTTATCGCCATGCAAACATTCAAGAACTTAAATAAGTGATAATTAATAGCTGCATTTTTCGCAGCTGTTCCTGGTCCAATGATAAAATGTATATAATTTCTATCTACAAAGCCCATCAACTATTCAATCGAATGAGATGCAAACAAAATCTTGATATTTACTTAGTCATCCCCGAGCCGACGGCGCGAAGCGCCGTGCGAGGGAACTAATTCCCCTCGGCTATTTACACCCGGGGAAACGAAAGCATTAGCGAAGTCTAAAGTTCATCAATTATCGCGGGCGTGGGTGACCAACGATGTTGGTGTGTTGGGTGGGTGGTCATACTCACTGTTCTCAAAAATATGGCGGATTGTCATGAATAGCGGACACTGATTGGTCCAATTTAAAGTTTGCGTTATAACGACTGCATGACGACAGCGAATTAGCAAACATTTCTTGATTTGATGATTGATAAATTTCTTGCAAATATATTTCATTTTTGCTCGCATTTTTGCAAGATTTTGTAAATTTCAAAAGCTCTCTCAGAAAGAAACTGCGAAAGAATCGGCTAAAAGAAGGGAGCCGACGTTAACGAAGGTAAGTTTGTTTTAAATATTTTATATAATGGCTTTAAAACCCTACGGCATTTGCGTATATGAAACAACTAAACAAGACAGCATATAATTTAATTTTCAATGTATCTTTAATACCTTTTTTATGATATTGAATTTTTTTTAATAATAAAGAAGTTATTTGCAAGCGAGAATTTGAAATCATTTTATTGCAAACTCAAAGTTTATCGATTATCCCCAGTGAACTGTAATAACACTGGAACGCTAACTGCAGATAAACATGCCCATACTTGCCTGAAGCCAAAATGGCCCTTCTCGCGAGCACGGGCAGCAATAAATTAACTTTCAAAAGGACTGGGGAGAGTTTCGAGGAGCGGGAAATTCAGTCAAAAGTTTGTTTTTGAGCGAAAATCAGCAAGAAAATGTACTTTTTTATCAAAAGGCTTCAACTTTAAAGATTCAAACCTGGTTTCCTGGATAGTTCTAAGTATTTTACATCCACTAACAGCAAAAACTTCCTGGGTAACAGCTTGATATTCAAAATATTACACAAGTTTGAACGTGCCGAAAAAAAATTCGCACTTTGACTCCTGAAAAAAGAACTTTATAACTGCTCTACGTTCTGGAAACATGTTTTGTATTAAATTTCAGGTATTGTTGAAAGTTTCTAGCTTTTTTCCTTGTTGAAATACAGCTATTTAGTGGTCGAAAACAGATGTCTTTTTGGTGGCGTATTTTCCACTCCATACGTACATGGCGGCCTTCAATTTGGCTTCAAAGATGGCCGCCAAGTTATCGTTCCAGTTCCCTTAGAGTTCACTGATTATCCCCCACACACCCAGCTCCCCCTTTCCCACGCCTATGAAAAAGTATGAAAAATACTGTTTGCATTTCCGTTTCGTTCCGGTTGACTTTAGTTGCAGTGTCCTTTTATGCAAATTCCCAATTACACAATGATCTGCAACTGACAAAGTGTTACTCTAGAACTGCTGTAACTTTATATTACAGGGCGGAAACATTGAAACGAAATGGCACAAAAAGGATCCGTGATATTACTGCTTAGGTGCACACCATCAATTCCTGGAACATTTCGTATCATACTAAATATTATTTTCTGGTGTTATACTACAACTGGCGAAATATTAAAGGAGAATGATTCGGAGTCAACGGAAAATTCTTACAATACAGCTCTTAGTATTTCCAGTTCGGAAAGATGTCAACATATCTACGGAAATCTCACATCTCAGGAAATGGCCAGATGTGAGTATGTACCTAAAAAGGTTATAGACAAACCGAACCCTTATATGTCATATTGCATAACCCGACAGTCTTTAACAAGGTGTATTCAAAAAGATAATCGAAATTTAGCATGCGCCAGTACGTTGGATATTGAGCCCTAGCTAGCCAGCGTAGCAGGCTGCCATGCTATTTATAATCAGTAGACAGTAGGGCCACTTGGTTAATACTAAACTAACCATACAAGTCGATTGAATAAATTATTTAACAAATAACCGGTTGACGTATATGGAATATTCGGAATCGAATTTGTAAACAAATGTAAATATAAACTACAACGAAGATAAACAAAGCGGGCGTGTGTACATAGCCAGAAGTGTTTCTTAACGACAAATGCCGACAATATTATTCCACGATGTCGGGCATATTTTATAAAGCAAAGATAACCAAACCCTCTTTAAATCAGTGTGCGGACAACAGGCTTTCAACATCTCTTAAGATGGCTAACTGTCTACTGTCTTTGAAAATGGTTTCCGTATGGGGAACCGAAACGTCAGACAAAACAAAACTATTAATTAAATGTAAGAAAGATCTGGATAAACTCAAGAACAATCTCTTAAGATCCCGATTTAATTCAATACTGTTATGAATGATGTGAGTTTAAACGACGAACATATTTACAGCCGAACATTCGTTACGTTAAACATCGAACATATTCTGTAATTATTGATATTATTTTTAAATCTTAAAAAAAATACGCCCTTTCGAGGTTCGCGATGCCATCTAAAGCCTGGTTTCCATATGGTCGTAACTGTCACCAACGTGTCACCAACCGACCAACGTGTCGCGAACGTGTCGTGTGTTTGTCATGAATGACTTTTACGCTTGCATGTTTCCATATCGTTGTACCTGTCGTGACAATATCGCAAGTTAATTTTGTACCCAGAGATGGCACAAGCAGCTGGTGGCAGTTTTAAAAAGACAAACTGTTCCCACGTTGTCGTTTTTCTGTTTCCATTAAAAAATAACCGTCAGGTTGCCAGGACACGTTCTTAGCCTGTCGCAACTGTCGTCCGAGACAGAACTCGAGTCTATCTCGACGACACTGTTGTAACTGTCGTGAACTGTTGCCAGCGTGTCGCCACAAGACTCTTCTTCATGTTTTCATTTGGTTGCGAACACTACTCTGACGACAGTTGCCGGCAACACGTTCGCGACAGTTACGACCAAATGGACACAAGGCTTAACTGTCGTCAGTAGTGTTCGCGATCAAATGGAAACATGAAGAAAAGTCTTGCCGCGACACGCTGGCAACAGTTCACGACAGTTACATGAACAGTGTCCTCGAGTTCAATCTCGACGACAGTTGCGACAGGCTACAATCGTGTCGTGACGGTGTAGTGGTAGAATAATACATATAGAAAAAGTACAAACCATGAGAATATAAACCAATAGAGAATAAGAGTACCTGAATTATCCGTCCATACTGTTTGTAAACTACTATTAAATCAGAAACGAAACACCTCGGGTCCAGATGAGTTGCCACATTGGTTTTGGAACACCTATGCATATGATATTGCGCCTGTGATAACCATCATTTTTAACAACTCAAACAAACTGGGCATTGTTCCTGACAGTTGGAAACTAACAAATGTTTTACCTGTCCCCAAAGAATCTCCTCTGACAGAATCAAACCAATTACGACCCATTTCGTTGACTAATATAATTGTTCGCCTTTTTGAAAGAGCAATCTATACAACTGAATTAGTCCAGGTGATGGAAAATGCCATCCATAAAGATCAGTTTGCATATAAAAGCGGTTATAGCTCTACAATGGCCCTAATAAAAGCGCAACATACCTGGATGGAATGGTTGGATGGTAATGCTAGTATGGTACGCGTCTTCTCTTTTGATTTCAGCAAAGCTTTTGACACGGTACCGCACGAGATTTTATGCAATAAGCTGAAGAAGCTTCCTATTAGTCCCTATATTACCAATTGTATCATCAATTTCCTAACCAATAGGTATCAACGAGTCGTTGTTGATGGCGTTAAAACAGAATATTTGCCTATAAATCGTGGAGTTCGTCAAGGAACAGTATTAGGTCCAATACTGTTTTCTATAATGATTAATGATATCCGTCCTGTTCAAGCCTCAAACTTAATTGTTAAATTTGCAGATGACATCAATCTAGGGATTAAGGTCACAGATGATAGTGACGCCTCTTATATGGAAACAAACAATATTATCAACTGGGCGGAAACAAATTACATGAAACTTAACTATGAAAAGACGTGGGAGATGGTCATTCGCGGCAAGATAACCCGGCCACTTCCTGCGCCTCTGCCTATGATTGTTCGTAAAAGTTGGTTGAAGATACTTGGTGTTACGTTTCAAGAGAATCCTTCCATGTGGGACATGTATCTAGATGAACTATAAATGAGTAAAACCTGTAGCAGAATGTACATTATTCGGATTTGCAAATACTACGGGTTTTCTAGGAAAGAGCTGGATCTTCTGTTCCATAGTCTTATTTTATCAATATTAGTTTTTGGTATAGAGGTCTGGGGATGTGCGTCGTATTCTAAGTATCTTAGTCAAGTAGATAAACTTTTAAAACGTGCATATAACTATGGATATCTTATGTATCAGGTTTCGATTGTACGTTGATATATTAAACATTAGTATAATTACATAGGTGATTATTGAAAATTCTCCACGCTGATTGGTTGGCGTTGAGGTGATTATTACGCGATAATCACCTAAGCAATTTTCAAAATGGCGGCCGAAGCCGTTTTGTCAATTAAATGATGAAAAAATGTGTATTTTTTATTTTTTTTCTAAATAATCACCTATGAAATTATACTAAAACAATTATTCACCTCAGGCTCGGTAATTATCGTGAATAAAAACCTCGACTTCGTCTCGGTTTTTATTCACCGATAATCACCTCGCCTTCGGCGAATAATTGTTAAATAAAGACAGAGATTTATTGGAGAAAATAACTACGGATCCCAACCATGCCCTGCAAGTTTTGCTGCCTCCTAGTCGTCAATTAGAATTACGCAATCGCGGACATGAGTATGAACTACCAAGAGTTCGAACAGAAAGGTTTAAAAGAGTGTTCGTTAATAGATGTCTTGTTATCTTCATATGATATTTTTAAATTAGAAATTAACTTTTTAGGAACTACATTAAACATAATAATAATGGTATTTTAGCTCTATTAATGAATAATATCAATACTAATACAGTAATTAGTATAATAATTATTGATAAGTAAGTGCAAATTGTAAGCCCGCGCGTTTGTTGTGAGGTGTTGCTTTTAATATTTTAATAAAGATTTATACATACATACAAACAACCAAATACACTTTTATTTTCGTAACACCGCGGAAAAATATCTGCGCATGCTCACGAACAAAAGTGGCGAAATTTAAAATAAATTTTATTACTCAATACAAAACCAAAGCTGTTTATTCACTCGGTGTAAGTGAAAACAACAATAAAATACAGAAAACGGGTAGAATAGACCTTAATCAGGAAGATATAACATTTAGAGGATATAAAGAAGTATAAATTAAATTTGAAAAGTCTGGTTTGAACGGAGATGTGTCGAGCACTTTGTGCAAAATGACCAACGTAAAAAATAAGCGAACTCTTAAGAAGAAGGCTCTACCTATCCTAAATATTCCGAGTGAGTCATAAAGTTTAATTATTGTTTATCCAAAAATATTTGATTCTATACCATATGAACCTACGAAAAATATCTTGGTATCGTTCAGTTAAAGAACTGTACATACAATAAATTTATCGACAGTCAGCATTGGTTCATTTTCTTGCATAATACTATTTTTTGAACATGTAGAGTGTAATTACTAGATTTTAGGTTGTCACATTCATGATTTCGCTTGCATTTTCACAGAAAAGGCATGCAAAACATCGAAGTTGCTCCCAACCTCGTTCCCAGGGCTTCAGTGTGAGGACGAGGACGAGGCGTGATTTATTTTAAACAAGTTAAAATAAATCACTACCAGTATCTTACAACAATTCAAAACCATGGCAAGTGTTCTTTGAAGAACTAAAGTCGTAATAAGCTTAAACAACGGCATGAGTCATGTTTGACGGCAGTAATGTCTATTTCTAAATGTCGAGCGGAGTACTGGATCCAAATGTACTGATTTTCGTGCAAAAGTCGCCGGTGTTTCCCAGAGACTCAAGCCTCAGCAAGCCTCCACAGAGGATTGCGGGCTCTGGTTTCGAGATTGGAGGAAGCCCTGGTCTGTGCCGATTACGTGACGACAAAAAATGGCAGTATTTGACAGCTACTCGTCAAGGAGTGGCGAGATATTCTTTAATGAAATCAAATGAAATATACAAGTCTTCGAAACAAATAAATAGCCAAAAGTCTTCTCAATCGATATTATTTATGTGTGGAGCGAAGTTTGGCACGAATCAGTTGAAATCTCTGAAGATCCCGTCTATGTTTTCTAAGATATACTGATATTTCTGGAGATTTTCAACTACAGCGGGCAAAGCTGCATCCAAGCTGCATCTAGGCGTCTCCATGCAAGTGGTGATTCACGCGAAATTTCCTTTCTCTCGTCTTCAACAATATGGCTATTGTTATAATTAATATTTAGTTTAAATATGCTCTTATAGATCTGACTTAGTTCAATATAAATAAACACAAATATAAAACCTCGCGTAACCTGTTTACGCTGTACACGTATATACGGATTCGCTTGTTTCGCCGGACACCAACACTTGCCGTTCAGGAGCAATGCTTGTCTACAAATTTTATCCTCTTCACAATCTTTGTTTTATTTTATCGTATAGTCGCAAATTTCAAGTATTCGGGGTATTCTGAAACTGTAAAACTGGGTGGCGTGCGAATCTTGTAGAGACTACATTGGCCTAGGCGTAGAGCTATTAAGTAAACAGGGCCTAAATTAATTTAGTAGTTTCATTTAATTGTTTGTGTTGCTTTTATTTGTCAGTACAGAATATTGTAAATTAAAATATTACTACAATGCAATACGCGTAGTATTTCATCAAACATCCGCACTAATAAATACTGTACAAGAAAAACTACAGCTTAAATAATAGTAGACGTTTCTTGTTTTGTCAGGAAACATCACAGCTCACTTCAACACGGCTTTTGAGTTTTGTAACCGTCGAGACGAAAGTAAATCATGCAGTCGGGAAAAAGTCTTTCTTTGAAAGATTATTTTGCAAAACACACAAGAATCATAAAAATACAAATGTTGAATTGTTATTGTCAACTGTCAAGTTCAGTTATTTTTAGACAATATGGTGTTAGCCAATCAGAATGCAAAATTGACCGGCCCAGACCAGGGCTTCCTCGTGTCTCGCCTCGTCCTCACACTGAAGCCCTGGGAACGAGGTTGAGTTGCTCCTTGTTGCTTCCATTTTGAGTTTTTGGCAACCTTCGGAACACTTGACACCACGTTCACAAGGCAAGTTTCAGTAAGGATAACGCATGCGCAGACGTTTTTCCGCGGTGTTAGTTTTAGTTAGTTGAGCACATATAAAAATTCGTTACGCGCATGAGCTAAAATGCTGAGCTAAGTATACTGGAACATTTATATATCTTCGACATCCTCCGGGGACCGGGGGCGGCGTATTCTGAAATTTTGTTGGCTGTTCTCGCGGATGAGGTTGTTACTGGTCTCTTCTAACCGATCTCTCTTGTTCAGCAGAATTATTGACGAGGTTTTCTTGACCACAGTTGCTTATCTCCGTTTCTTCGTCTTCGTTCGTTGACAGTTCTAGTGGGTATAGTTTTCAAATTGGTCTGTTTGTATTGCTCTGTGCTCGTTTGAATACTCGCTGCTCGAACCAAGTAATAACCTCCTCGAATGAGATCTTGGGGTGTCATCATGGACTAGAACTATGTCTCCTTTCTTGATAATCTGTTTATTGTCTCGGCTAGAGCGATGAAATTCACGTAGCGGGGTTACATATTCGTAGCGGGGTTACATACTCGTACCTAGGATCTTTTTGGGAAAGACCCTGGTATAGCCTGGTCACGTGAATCTACAAAAATCTGGAGGAGTGACAAAGTATCAAATTGCATGCTTCCACATAAAAACGTTAAACTTCAATTACAAGGAGTGGGATATTTTGTATAATGTAGCGATACATAGTTCGAAATTCCGGCTATGGAAATTTCACAGCGCTTTTAATAACAGTCGTGGAGTAGTAGTAGTCATTGTTTATATGCAAGGTGTCCGTTTGTAGTTTGCGATATTTCAGAACTCAAAAAATCTCTCTATTTGGTCCTATTTCGTTACAATTCCACATCTCTGTATTAAATAAAATAAATCCTTTAGTTTAATTAAGATAGACTTCAACAGCTAAATGACAGCCACATAGGTCGGTCTAGAAATATATTTTCTTGTTTAATAGTTTGCGACGAGTGCTTTCTTCGACGAGCGGGATAGCATACTTTGTCTATTGAAATCTAATCTATCTTTGCTCAACGACATTCTGCGTACATGCGCACAATGGCATTTGATATTCCTTGATATATCCTGCATGATTTCTGCGTTATTTCTTCGCTAAATCCTTGCTCAATGTCAATGACAAAACGTACTTAGTCACCCACCCTGATTGAAATCTATTGTTACCTCCCACATTCTGGGAGACACGTGACCAGATAATACCATGGTATTTTCTCAGCAGGTGGCCGTGGCACCAGAGTGTGAGAGGAATTAGTGTGGGTACGAGGTTGTCGACGTCGAACATCTGATCGCACTTCCATAATCGGAAAATAAAATCGGAGACAAGCGTATCAAAGACAAGTATCGGCACAGAGAAACACTTGAATCATGGCACACTGCATACACAAAAGAACTCTGACAACAATTCAAAACATTTACCGCATTAATCTTATAGGCGGAACTGTGATATTTGTAATTTTGTATCTATATGTAATTGTAAACCGTTGTAATTGTCACACTCTCATTGTAATCTACCCGTTGAAGACTGCAGACGCCAAGGCGAAAGCTGGTACTAAATAAATGTTAAAAAAACAGAGAACGTCTACAAAGTTTAACTTATTATGAATAATAATAATAATAATAATAATAATAATAATAATAGTCTTTATTAAAATACTCAGATACATCTGTCTGAGTTTACAATCGAAATGTAATTGATCTAGATAGTTATATTTACAATGTAAGTTAAGAAGCGTAAAAAGATTTAAAAAGTTTTAAATACATTAAAGTCTAAACAAAGTTATACAGACAACGATTTATGAACAACCTTTTGAATCTTTCTGTTCTCACTAGGGGGAGTTCATACTCATGCCCTCTAGGCCTAAGTAACCTACTTCTTTTTTCCGGCAGCAGTTCAAGCAACGCATTGTCCTCAGTTGATGTTATTTTGTTCCACAGTTTCTTATCTCTCTTATCACGTATTTCTTTAATGTGTGTTCGTTTTGATATATAACCATTCTTATGTGTACGTTTAATGAATTTATCTATTTGGTTCAAATATTTACCGTCATATGCACAACCCCACAGCTCAATAGCAAAAGTGAATATCGACATAATTAGGCTATCAAACAGCAGATCTAATTATTTAATTGATAGTCCATAGTATTTGCAAACTCTCATAATGTACATTCGTCCACTTGCTTTTTTGAGCATTTCTTCGAAGTGCAAATCCCAGTTGCACGGATTATCTTGTAGAGTAACTCCTAAAAGCTTTAGCCATGTTTTTCGCTTAATTGAAGGGATAAGCTCGGGCAAAACTACAGAGGTGTGTCTGCGAACAACCATTCCGTACGTTTTTTCAAAGTTTAAGGGCATTCTATTCTCTTCCGCCCAATCCTGTAAACAGGCAGCTTCAGATCGAGATGTGTCACCACTTTCGTTGCCAGGCACTCCTAACGTCAAATCGTCAGCAAATTTGACTAACGCATTACTAGGATCAGCAGTTTTAATATCATCAACCATTATTGAGAAAAGAACTGGGCCTAAAACAGTACCTTGAGGGACACCACGATTAATATATAATAACCATCGTTTCGCTACAAACACATTCAATTGTATATGCTTCGTTCTCAAATGAATACATGCCCTCGTTCAAATAAACCTAGTTTCATGCAAATCACTTGTATATGGATCGTTCTTGAAACAACTGAACATGAAATATATTTGCTTCTCATAAGCCACGCACAACTTAACATGAAATATATATACTATATATAGAATTGCCATATTCATTTCATCCACGCACAATAGGGCCATTTATACGGAACAAAATAAGACGCGACTTACATAAGACGCGACTTAAGTAAGACGCGAGTTTGTCGTATAAAAGGTACAAAATTCTTATGTAAGACGCGTCTTGGATAAGACGCGTCTTACATAAGAACAGGTCTTTTAGCTGTTCTTATTTAAGTCGCGTCTTAAATAAGAAATTTTGGACAAAAAGTCTAACTACACATGCCAGAAACTTGAAACAACGTAAAATTTAATGCCTTGCATATTAAAACAAAAACAACCAAAACAACATTATAGCTATAGCAAATAAATAAGACCAAAGCCGTAGAGAACAATTTATGCGATAACTCCACTTATTTAAGTCGCGTCTTATGTAAGTCGCGACTTATTTTGTCACGTATAAATGGCCCTATTGTCAAAGTCAATGACAAGGCTTTACATGAAATATATAGAATTGTTTCTTTCTTTTCAAAAAAACAAGCACAACTGCACTGTTAATTTCAGGGTGTTAAAATAACACCTCGGGTGGTGTTAGATTAACACCAACTAGTGGTGTTAAACAAAGGTGTTATTTTAGCACCCTTTTTCGGTGCTAATTTAACACGACATAAATAAAAATATTTTGCAAAGTGTTAATTTAACACTCAAATAGTTTAACACCACTTTAGAGGTGTTAAAATAACACCCACTTAAGGACAGGTGGTGTTAAAATAACACCGGTTTCTGGTGCTAAATTCTTGGTGTTAAAATAACACCATAAGTGGTGTTAAGAATTTGTATTCCCCAGTGTTAAATTAGCACTGTTTGTGGAGTTAGAACATGGGTGTTAAAATAACACCTTTTTGGTGGTGTTAAATTAGCACGCAGCACGAGTGTTAAAATAGCACCTTTTTGGTGGTGTTAAATTAGCACTGAGCACGGGTGTTAAAATAGCACCTTTTGGTGGTGTTAAAACTGTTTGTGCAGTTAGAATAACATATATTCTTAAACTAAAACACTTTTACAGTATAACACGGTCTATAAACACACGTTTTGAGCCTGGTCTACCGTCACAGGCTAGGGCTGGCCGATTACAGGTATTTCGCCAAATTAATTAATTGGCAAATATTTATCCGAATATTATTTACTGTTAGCATGAAACAGCCTCATATTAATTGCTGGCAAATTATAAACCATTTCACAAATGAAACATTTGAATTCAGAAGTTAATACTTTTAGACATATAAATAATAAATTAACAGAAATACTGAAATAGTTCCCATGTCACATGCATGTTCCATGTATGTTTATGCATTTCATCATACAGATTGGAAACTGGCAAAATTGGACCTCAAAATATCGCATTTCAAATATTATAACACGCTATAATTTGCAGCAGTAGCAACACAATATGAAGATAACACACAATGAAGCCGAAATATTTGAATATTCGCGCGCCGCATGATCGAGCTTTCAACCAATGAGTATAGCGCCGCCGTGAAATCTAATACCTTCTTCTCACATCAATACTGGCATTTATATAGTTTGTGATCGTTTGTATGGGAATATATCTGCTCTCTGATATCTGCTATTGTGGTAGTGATGGGCGATACCGAGTACTTGGTATTCGATACCAGCGATACCACAAACAGCGGTATCGGTATCGATTACTGACGTGGTATCGTTCGATACTTGCACCCTTTTTTTAACGACTTGTTTAATTTCACTTCTTGGTTGAATAAGACTTAATGAACCACTAAAATAACTCTTAATATTCCAAATGTGGTGCGCCAAGTCATGTATAGAAAATATTTATTACGTTTCGGACTTTTGGTTTACATATAGCTTTATTTAGGTTACATACAGTAATGAAAGATGTTTTTCCGCTGACCGGTAGGTATCGAAAGTAGCCGATACTAGCAATTTAAGTACTCACTTCCGGTATCGAAAATTGAAATTTTGTGTTTATTTTGGTATCGAAATAGGTATCGGTATCGGCCGATACCGATCTTAAAAGTATCGGTATCGGTATCGAATTAAAAATCCTGGTATCGCCCATCACTGTGGTGCGAGGGTTCTATTAGGATTGCTTCTAAGTGTCAGTGCGATGGAAGCGATACAAACTGATTAAAATGGCTTTAGTATATTCATATTTCAAGCATAAAGATGGCTTTAAAACAGTGTGAGGAAGAAGCGAGCAAGGTTGCTGTTTGTATTTGTATTTGAATGACAAAGGTCTGGCCGCCAATGCAATTCAAAACGTGTGGTTCACAGCGTCAATGCTTTAGAATTAGTTCGCCTGTAACTTCAAAGATGTGATAAATGTCGAAAGGAATAAGGTGAGTTATTATAATACTGCGAGAATTATAGTGATTGTTGTCTGCGATTGTCGTATTTATAATACGACCGCCATTATGCTGAGGCTATTCTCATTGCCATTGCAGTCTCAGTTAAGAAAACGTGCGCGCGTTTTGATTTGCAAGTGCTGTAGTTTTGTCTGATTTATCTTGCGTTTACTGCTTTCATTTCAATTATAAAGACAAGTATTTTAGAACCTGAGATGGAAAATCGGAAAATGGCTGTTAAAGCCTATGTGTAGTTCTCATTCATCGCAAACCGTCGGCGATGGGAGCTTTGCGACGTCGGCGACCGCTTTCGATTTATGAGAACACATCAAAAATTATATCGCCGATTGTCCATGATCGTCGCCGACCATCGGCGATGACATCGCAGGAAACAAAAATGTTTGTTTCTTGCGACCATCGCCGACTGCCACCTGCTTGAAAAATCTATGAGAAATGAGTAAAAGTTGTTTTTTCCTCAACAAGCAAGGAAATAATCAACTGAAGTTTGACATAAATCATGAACTTTACGTTGAACGGGGCCATTTTGTGCCTTGGTGGGAAATTTCGAAACACATCGTCTGTCATCTGCGACGTTCACCGATGTATGAGAACTTTCGTACATTCGCGGTCGGCGAGCATCGGCGATAAGCGTCGCCGATCGTCGGTGACAGTTTGCGATGAATGAGAACTAGGCTTAAATGCCCAACCTCAACTATATCATATACATATAGGAATGCAAGATTTTGTGCATTCTATTCAAATTACGCACAACAACACAGACCAACAATACTTTATTCCGAAACGGTAATGTTTTATATTGATTACTGAACGATGGAATTTATTTTATTAATACTGTCTGTGAGATGAGATACAGTATACACTACACAGCTGGACCTGAGCTGGTGTTTCATGAATATTTTTGCCAACTCGAATTTTATATTTGATTTTTAACCATTAATTTAAGCTGCAATGTTCCTAAATATACCTTATTTTATTGTTTTATTCTGGCTAACGCAGACAATTTTTATCTAATTTGCCAAGGGGATCTTATACCGTAAACCTCCGACTATAAGCCCTGGGCTTATATACTTTCGTAAGCGATTTTTGATGGGCTTATACAAGGGGGGGGGGTTATATATGCGGGGGGCTAATACATGGATGATCTTTTGTGTTAGTAATAAACAAATCAGACATAAACAAGTCAGTCATAAACAGGAAAATATACATCCATTAATAACATGCTTTGATTAACATAACATATAGTCGGCTATAAAGACAATGACAATGTTTTTAAATATCGTTCTCTGCTATATTAAAAGACAATCAAAATGTTGAATAACGTACTGGGCTTATATTCGGGGACTTATATTTGGGGGGCTTATATTTGGGTGTGCTTATGTTGGGGGGGGGGCTTATATTTGGAATGAATTGAGCGTTAGTATATGTGGTGGGCTTATATTCGGGGTGGCTTATAGTCGGGGGGGGGGCTTATAGCCGGAGGTTTACGGTATAATGACAGAGATAATTTTACCTATCATTGGGCTATCAATGGGAGAGTCCTGAGTATTAATATTTAAGAGTGAAAATATTGATTATGATATAATGTTCACATTATAAAATCCCCAAACATAATTCTCTTTCTCAACCATGTCAAAAGATACACTAAACCTAATAAGTTCTTATTGCAACAGATTCTCATTTTAAAGTAGAATAATTGCCACATGTAGCACTTGTTAAGGTGAGATAGCACATCTCTTATCCATCCAGGACAAATGACCCATTTGACACAGTTAATTAACACTATAATGGGGGTAATTTTTCTTTCTTAAAATGGCAATGTATCGATATGATTTTTCAATGGCAAAATGCAATTGGACTGTACGGGCCAGTCTGTACCAGTGACTAATTATATAGTTAAGCTAGGTGACACTTGCTCGATGGCTTCCCTGTTAGATACTGTACTCCTTTTGAAAACTATTAATTGCTACATGTAGTGTTAAGGTGAGATCATGGCACATCTCTTATCCGTCCTGGACAAATGACCCATTTGACACAGGTAACATTATAATGAAGTAGTTTTTCATTCTTGAAATGGCGATGTATTGACATTATTTTTTAATGGCAAAATGGAATTGAACTGTAACAGTGATTAATTATATAGTTAAGGGACACTTGCTCAATGGCTACCCTCTGTTATATACTGTGCATACTCCTTTTGAAGTAATTAAAATTGCTACATGTAGTGTTAAGGTGAGATGGCACATCTCTTATCCTATCATTGCATGTGATCAATGCTTATTTGTCTCAACAAAGAGATGGTTTGCGCTCTAGCTAGCTATCTCATTGACAATTAGATAACGAGTAGCGTAAAGCCAATCAGAATACAGCATTTGCATTAGAACTTGACAACATTTAAAATTACTAAATATATATATATATATATATATACTGTATAGACTAATGTGAAAATGAATACTTTTAGGATGACGACCCCATTGTCCATTGATGAAGAAGTGAGGAAATCAGCCTACAGTATAGCTATCCTTGAATCTTGGCATCAGGTGACATTGCATCCTTGGACCCATTGTACATTGCTGCCGTGGGGCAAATTTACTTGCGTTTTGCTGGTAAAAATATTCCACATACTTATTGCTACATTCCATGTTCTAAATATGGAATACACTCCAGGTGTTTCGAGTGTTTATGCATTTCTAGAATTTAGAAGCTGTCACCTTAAACCGCCCTGCTGATGCCGAGAACAAAATTTCTGTACAACAACTTTTAAGTGAGCTTGGACTCTGAAATTAATCGTGATAAATACTTAGTTCATATAAATTCATGCATGTTAAAGGTATTTCTTGTCAGCGAGTAATTTATAATAATAACCAATTTTGAACCTATATTTCTCTTTTGTGTGTGTCTTAATGTGCCTGGTTGAAAGTGTTAAATCAACACCTTAAATCTGGTGTTATTTTAGCAGCAGATAGGAAGAGGTGTTGCTTTGGCACTGCCAAATCAGGTGTTATTTTAACGCCACACTATAGGTGTTAAATCAACTCTTAAAACTGTGTCACTTTAGCACTTAAAAGTGGTGTTAGTTTAACACTATAAACAGGTGTTAAATTAACTCCAAAAACTATTGCTAATTTAACACTAAAAATGGGTGTTGTTTTAGCACCATAACTAGTGTTATTTTAACACTTTTTTAGTGGTGTTAAAATAGCACCAAAAAGTAGTGTTATTTTTTACCTAATTTTTTAACACCACTTTTTGGTGTTATTTTAACACCCTAACATTAACAGTGTGTACATCGAATATATTTACTTCGAATAAGCCACGCAGAACTTTACGCAACATGAAATAGCATAGAGAATTGCCTCGTTCTATTAAAAGACCACGCACAATTAGCTGATCACCGAATATATTTACTTCTCGCTAACCACCACGCGCAAGTGACAAGACTTATAAGTATAGGTAATAGCATGGTTTCGAGTGCAATTTGGATATAACATGCACGAGTGAGTTTTTCAAAGACCTCGAAATAGCACGAGTCCGAAGGACGAGTGCTATTTGTGGTCTTTGAAAAACTCACGAGTGCATGTTTATCCAAATTTCACGAGAAACCATACTATTACTTATTAATAATTTACATAAAAATGTTCGAGACAATTGTAGTTTCAACTTACGCGTTTATAGCGAACATTCCACCGGCAAACTTTTCCTGGCTTTGTTATATCACATTATGCAACGCTAACAGCTTGAAAATTCCACTCAACTATGTAATTTTTGTTAGTCTTGTTTAAGGTCAATGCTTTTCCATTTAAAAATAAAGATAAAAGCCATATTTTTCACGCGAAAGCAACTTTTACTTCAGTGTAGCGCGGCGCCATGTTTGTTTTGTTTTGAAGCAATCTGTGACCGTTACTTCTTTAAACTAAATTGCTTTAAACTGATTGGTTGATTTAATCAGCACAATGTTTTTCCACCAATCAGATCAGTTTGTTACAGATTTTTGCACTGTGATTACAGAAAATTGCACTGTGATTACAGAAAATTGCACTGTGATTACAGAAAATTGCACTGCTGTTTGGGATTAACTGCACTGAAATCAACCAATCACAGTCGAGTAATATCTTTATGTATATTATTATGAAATATATAGAATAGCCTCGTCGTATTATAAATTCAGGCACATGCAACCTCATATAACTAAGACTGATTCACGAATTTTCCATTCATGTCCAATGGACGGATCCGACGAATCTAACCATATTGTTCTCCGTTGGTCTCAGATGGAGTAGATTTGACAGTATTTGACAACCCTCGCGGAAATTTGTCCTACGACTCTTTCCTTGTATTTACGCATGTCCGCTGTGCAAACCGATAGATATAGCCAGTAACAGAAAGTAGTTTTCTTAATGAACTCTATCCAGATGCATCAATAATGAGGTGAAATCGCAACATCGTGTCATTTGGAGTGGTTTCGCTGGGAATGGTTGTGGGTGGTTCTGTATCATTTTCTTCGAAGACAGATAGGTTAATGGTGTGTGAGAATTCCACAGTGGCCATTCTTCTGATATTTGCAGTAACCATGTTGGTCCATTATTTCCTAGAGAATATGATTGTAATAGGCAACTTGCATGTTACCAAAACATCATGGGAAAAATGGTAACCTTCACTTGCGCGCGAAATGGCCGCCGTGGATCGCTCCATTTTGCATGTGAGAAATATAGTTTATTTTTAACACTTTTTTCGTAACGTTTGAAAATTTTAAAACAAGGGAGAACTTTGTAATGCTATAAAGTTTGTTTTGACTCAAGTACAGCGAAATCGAACCGAAAATGGACGAGAAAATTCCTGTAGAAGAACTGAGGAGCGAACAGTGTGCTCATAAATACGTTCCAAGAGGAAGGCCTTCCCAACGTTTTAAGGTGAGCGCGCTTAGTAAACATCGGACAGATTTACAAATTTGTGTGTGTTGTTTCTTGATGTATATCTCGTATTTTGACAACGATCGAGTGTTTCCTGCCGATTTTTTCGCTTGTTGAAATCGACTAATTCATGACAAAATGTCTGTCGGTCGTTCGATCAGCATGGCGCTCAAACACAATATTTTAAAGACACCTTAAAATGTTTTGGTGCGAACTAAAAGCAGTTCAAACCGGTTTTTTCTGCCCCGGCTCCGTTACTTTGTAGAAACGCCAAAGAGAAATCATTTTGCCTCTGTTGTCGCTTATTTTTCTGCTTCCTTTGTTGTGGTCGGTTTATTTCCTGTCAAAATAAACAAGTAGGTTTTTAGTATTAAAATATTAGGCTTAAAATATATTAAATTCGTAGTTATATTAACGTAGGAAAAACCGTTTTAAATTTGCATTTAAGGTAGTAGAATATATTATAGTCATTTTTAAAATTTAGTTATTTATAGTAAATTTAGGTATTTTAAATTAATCTTCAGGCAGGCCCTAAGGATCAAATTTGTAACTAGTGAAATAAATAATTAAGGTGTAGGTTTAAATAATATAAATTTTTTGATGGATATTGAGCCGGGTACTTCATCGAAGGCAGATAAAAGCAACACAGAAAATGCATGTTCTAAAAGAAAATATAAAGGAGGTGGAACAACTTGCTGTATTCCAACATGTAGTAGCAATACTAAAAGAAATCCAGAACTCTCATATTACCAAATTCCAACTGACAAAAAGCTCAGAAAGATGTGGTTGCATTGGATCGGACGAGCTAATTTTACACCAAACAACCATCACAGAGTTTGTTCAAAGCATTTTGTTGGTGGCAAGAAGACATGTCTTCACAATGTTCCAACTATAGTGCAAAAATTATTACTGCCCACCCAACCGAAACCCAGAACAACATCTAAATGCAGAAATAGAGACAACACAATTGAAGAGAATCCTGAGATAGAAGATGAGTCCACTAGTGAGGACAGAATTTTAGAACTTAAAAAATATTAGATGTCTTTATTACAAATGTCCCAAACTATTGGAAATCTGTTAAAGTTGTAAAAAGCTTGGTGAGATCCGACCATGATATGGTTATCACATACCCCCGAAACATAGTTAAAGCAACAAGGACAAATTCCTATTTCAGAGATGTGAGACAACATCATCAATTGAATATGCTTCGTGAACTTGAATCTATTGATTGGAACACGATAATTATGAATAGCCATAACCTAGATGAGATAACCCTAAAATTTTATGAAATAATATGGCCAAAATTCGATAAGAGCTTCCCACTAATTAAGGTCAGAACGTCATCACGCGACCCTCCGTTCATGTCTCCTCTTGTGAACCACCTTCTGAATCAAAGGAAAAGAGCCATACAAAACGGAAATACTGAAGCAAATACACGATTGCAAGAAAAAATCAACAAGTTAATTCGGGAAAATCAATTAAGTGCAGTCAAACAGGAGTTTGGCAACCAGAAAACTGGATCGAAAAGTTGGTGGTCTAACGTAAATAGCATTACATCGAGAAAAAAGAAACATGATGTATCTGTAAGTGCTTCTCTTAACCCTAGTGAAATTAACAAATATTTTCAAAGTGTGAATACAGACCCAAATTATACGACTCCCGAGCCTCTTCAAATCTCCGAAGGAACAAGAATTCCCTCGTTGTCAATTCATGAAGTTCAACATCTTTTACGCAATCAAAAACGCTCTTCATCGGGTCCGGACAGTCTGCCATATTGGTTTTGGAAATCGTTTGCTATTGAATTAGCTCCTATTGTCACAGAAATTTTTAACATGTCACTAAAAACCAGCAAAGTACCTCAGAAATGGAAATCCGCTAATTTATTACCACTCCCTAAAGAATCACCATTAAATTCGTGTAACCAGTTAAGACCAATCTCTCTGACGGACATCATCATGAGACTATTCGAGAAGTGCGTGTATAAATCTGAAATCGAACCTATCACAAGAAATAACATTGGTCCTAACCAATTTGCTTATAAAAAGGGTCACAACTCGACTATGGCTCTGATTAAATCCCAACATCAATGGCTAGAGTGGCTGGATAAAAACGCTAATTATGTTAGAGTGCTGTCGTTCGATTTTAGCAAAGCATTTGACAGTGTGCCCCACGATCTTTTGTTTGAAAAAGTTAAAAAGCTACCCATTAATCCGTATGTGGTGAACTGGTTAATTAGCTTTCTAGAAAATAGAATACAAAGAGTAATGGTTGATGGAATGGTTACAGAATATTTATATATTAATCGTGGTGTCCCTCAAGGTACTGTTTTAGGCCCAGTTCTTTTCTCAATAATGGTTGATGATATTAAAACTGCTGATCCTAGTAATGCGTTAGTCAAATTTGCTGACGATTTGACGTTAGGAGTGCCTGGCAACGAAAGTGGTGACACATCTCGATCTGAAGCTGCCTGTTTACAGGATTGGGCGGAAGAGAATAGAATGCCCTTAAAGTTGGAAAAAACGTACGAAATGGTTGTTCGCAGACACACCTCTGTAGTTTTGCCCGAGCTTATCCCTTCAATTAAGCGAAAAACATGGCTAAAGCTTTTAGGAGTTACTCTACAAGATAACCCGTGCAACTGGGATTTGCACTTGGAAGAAATGCTCAAAAAAGCAAGTGGACGAATGTACATTATGAGAGTTTGCAAATACTATGGACTATCAATTAAACAATTAGATCTGCTGTTTGATAGCCTAATTATGTCGATATTCACTTTTGCTATTGAGCTGTGGGGTTGTGCATACGACGGTAAATATTTGAACCAAATAGATAAATTCATTAAACGTACACATAAGAATGGTTATATATCAAAACGAACACACATTAAAGAAATACGTGATAAGAGAGATAAGAAACTGTGGAACAAAATAACATCAACTGAGAACAATGCACTGCTTGAACTGCTGCCGGAAAAAAGAAGTAGGTTACTTAGGCCTAGAGGGCATGAGTATGAACTCCCCCTAGTGAGAACAGAAAGATTCAAAAGGTCGTTCATAAATCGTTGTCTGTATAACTTTGTTTAGACTTTAATCTATTTAGACTTTAATCTATTAAAAACTTTTTAAAACTTTTTACGCTTCTTAACTTACAATTGTAAATATAACTAGATCAATTACCTTTCGATTGTAAACTCAGACGGATGTATCTGAGTATTTTAATAAAGACTATTATTATTATTATTATTATTATTAACTTGAAGGGCTGGTTGAAAACCTTCAGCAGGAAGATCAAGAACAACAAGAAAAGATATCCGATTTGAAGAGAAAAGTCGAACAGTGCAGTTTTTCTATATACCACATTAAAAATAATGATAGCGATATCGAGTTTTATACTGGCTTTTCTAATTACACTACATTTAAGGAATTTTATGACTATCTTTGCCCTGCATGTGAAAGGTTACAATATATTGGACCTTGGAATACTACAAAGCCAACAGAAAATCGAGAAAAATGTGGACCCAGGAGGACATTATTCTTGTGCCTTGTAAGGTTTAGATTGGGTTTGCTTGACTTAGCCAACAGGTTTAACATATCCGAATCGCATGTGTCGAGAATTTGGGTTACCTGGCTTGATTTCTTATACAGACGTTTACGGTCCATACCCATTTGGCCTTCTCAAAGTTATGTGAGAGAAACCTCACCACCAAGTTTTAAGGAGAGTTATTCAAACACAAGGGTCATAATCGACTGCACAGAGTTGTTCATTGAAACACCTTCTCAACCAAGAAGCCAAAGTGCTACCTTTTGAACCTACAAAAACCATAACACTGGTAAAGGCTTGATTGGCATTGCCCCAAGAGGATATACTTAACTTTTGTTTCAGAACTTTATGCTGGTAATACATTTGATAAACAACTGACAAATGACTGTGGAATTCTGAAATTATTGGAACCAGGTGATGAAGTGATGGCAGATAGAGGCTTTGAAATTGAGAATGATTTACCACCAAGCGTGTCGTTGAACATACCCCCTTCCTGGGTGAGCAAGCACAATTTTCAAAAGAGGATGAGATTAAAACTAGAAGAATTGCTAAACACAGGATACATGTTGAGAGGGCTATCCAAAGAATTAAAAGCTTTCGCATTCTCAAACATGACTTGCAGATATCTATGGCTGCAGACTTAATTAATAAACAAAATTTGGGGGTTATTTTTTCATATTTAACTTTGTTTTTCAGGCCATTAAAATTCAACTACATGAAGAATGAATTCTTTGTTATCGGGGCTGCCGAGAGCTTGGCGGGGGCCCGGGGCAAATTTTTTTAGGGGCTCCTATTTCAAATATTTTCCCGGAAAATTTTTTTTTGGACAACAAC